GAATAGAGAAATTATGAAGATATAATTGAAGTTTGAATGAAAATAAAACATCAAAAACACTGTCCAGAACAATTTGAATATGCTCTAAGTTTGGTTTGATAGATAATCAAGGGCATATGTAATTTTTGCTACACAGATAACTGCTTCCCTTGATTACTGACAAACCACAAGAAAGGAAATCAATACAAGGCTAAATTGACTTGGCTGCCAAGGATTCGAACTTCTGTTTTAGATGAAACACAATAACATAACACCTAAAGGATCTGCAGCTTTTTCCATATGCTTGGATTATTCAAATTCAACCAAGATGTAGAAAATTCCCAAGTTTCTTCCATTTGATGATCCAACTACATTTCCATGACAACCCATTCATTGTAGAGTCCATAAATTCACTGCACTTCAGCAAAATTGTCATATTAGAGTTTCTTGTTCTTGCCACCAAACTTACCACCATATAGTTTCATGATTTAGTTGAACTTCTTCCATGATGCAGAAAGGTTAAGATTCAATTCTCTATAGCCAACTTCTTCATGACATTCTATGTCACCAGATAAACAGGCCCATAGGTTTTAACAACTTGAGGGCTGCCATTGTTATCAAGACACACATAGGGTATTGCATTGTCTGATCTCTTTGTGGGGTTGAAAAGACTGGCGATAGGCCCAGATGTCGGACGCCGGAGCCTACCATCCGTAACCTTGCCGGTGCCATACACTGGACCAGAAACATTTGTCCGCCTTGTATTAGAAACATGAGATATGGTTTCTGGTTTTATGCTAGTTTTGTTCATTTTATCTCCTTTCAACCATGGAAATAGAAACTTTTTCCATGATTTCTTCTTCTTCTCTTGGCCCAATCTTCTTTCTCCACCTTCTTCTGGATAGCCTGATGATTTCTGGAAGTCTGCCTCTACTGCATAGTGTTTTGCTTCTTCCAGAAACTGACCATATTTAAAAAGTTCAAACCAGATAATTAGCAAAGAGAATGTGCAATGTGACATTGAATAACAAACTTTCCTTTTCAGGCCAAAAAATGACAAACTCAGATTTGATATCTAACCCTGTACAATACAATAGCTACAAATTAAAGTAGAGGCTGAGGAAGTTCTATAATGATGATCACGTCTTGGACATGTAGTTTTGACACGTATTCAATTTTATTTTAATAGTCTAGATTTTTAGTTAATTAATAAAATTGAATTGATACATATGTTGTGATCATAGTGGTTTTTTCTCGTTCAACAAAGTAGTTTTTTATTCGTAATGGGGCAGATTGGGGAGAGGCTGAAATGGGAAATCCCCTAATTGAATATTGCAGGTATGAAGGCGGGAATGAGAAAATGCTTAATGGGGATGGGGATGGGAATGGCATACCCACCCTTGATTTGGCCCACTGCCATCCCCATGAGGAACAATAGATATGAAGACAAGTTTACAAACATCAAATCATCTAACCTGATAAAAGTCAGCCTGAGGATCAAATCCATTGCCTTCATGTTCCATGTCATACTTTGGGTGCACAGGAGATTTCTTCATAGTTGCCTAAATAAAAAGAGGAACAAGGATAACAATCTAGGAAAGTTTGCAATTGATGACTTATAATTTATAAAGACCATGAAATGAAATGAAATTCTCATTTGGCTCTACCTTCAGTTGAAGAAGACAAAAAAAACCAGAAAGCTCTGAAACTTAAAGTGGTCCATTGTTCTTGCAAGCATTTATCAGAAAGGCAGAGAGCCAACCACCCAAATGAAATTACTACTTAAAGACCATATTGGTGATGGGAAATCAAATCAGAAATGGTAGTTGAAATGGCAGTGTTAAGTTTCTCTCTCTTTCCATAATGCTTAAGAAAGCAGGACAAGATATATACAGCAAGCAAGCAAGCATCAATATGAACCAAAAGCGACACACAACATGAGCAACATACTTAAAGCAGCTCATTTGATACGGCAAACGTATCAGATTCTAATTAAGCACTTGAAAACCAAACGCATTATCACTTAAGGCAAACATTAATTAATATTATTAATTAATCACTGTTTTATGACTTTTACAGCGGATTAAACAACCCCACACGAAAAGAAGAAAGATACCTTTTGTCATGGGGACTGGGTCTTGCAGGATTGCGACAAATGCGGAGCATGTTTCGGGGGCTTTGAGGATTTCTCTGGGAAAAGTTTTTGGAGGGAAAAGCTAAGTAAATCTCCCTCCTCCATTTATGGCGTGCAGCAAGGAGCTGCCTGCTTCAGTGCTATTTGTCCACAAAACAAAACCAAGTATTAAAAAATAGTAAGAAAGAAAGAAAAAGTAAATTGCTTCAGTACACTGCTCCTATGAAACAGACCAGAGGCAAGCAACCTTAGCTTATTTGGATCAAGCCATTTAATTATATTATAAACTAAAAAGGCATTGACAGTCTGCAGCAAATTACAATCAAATGTGACTGTCACTGTTGAATGTGGCTTTGAATGTAGTGTCCTACAATATTTTTCTTCTTTCCTTCTTTCCTCTCTTTTATGGTATGTTTACTAATCCATAATCAGGTGAGGAGGAATTGAATTGAGAAGAGTCAAAATCCAACTCCTTATTTTGATTCTGATTACGGATGAGTGAACATGCCATTAATGCAATGATTTTGAAGCCTACCTCAAAGTTTGAGTGTAAAATTATACTTTTGAATTGATAAATGGTAACATCTTTCATGAAACATGGGAATCAAAGTTATGGATTTTGTGGGGTTTAGCTTTTTATACAATCAAAGTTACAAACTTTTAACCAAAGTCATCACCTTTGCTCTACGTCATCGCATACATGTTGCAATCATGGAATGGATTGTTCTAATTCCCTTTGTTTTACACTTCTCAACCTTATTAGTGAAGAATAGTTTAGCTGAAACAAGGAAAAGATAATCTAGAAAATGAAGGGACAAAAACGAGTTTTCGGTTTACTCTAAACCCTGAAATGAGTTTTCAGATCATTACTTTATATTTATATATGAGAGAGAGAGAGAGAGAGAGAGAGAGAGAACCAACCCAAAGTTGAAACAGAAACTCCCCTAAAGTTGAAATAACATCACAAGCATGTCATGTTTGAACATTGACAAACAACGACCAAACATTGACATAGAAGGAAAAACATCAGCCAAGCGATTCAACTGACCTTAGTATCAACCTCCTATACAAAATTATATTAGATACAAGATAAACCTAAAGGAGTATTTGGAACAAGTCCACTCGACTTGCAAAACGTTTTATGTCCACGGGACCCCAATAAATTTTCTACTAGGGATGTACGATACTAAAGTTGAAGTAGAGGCAGCGCCATTACAACACCAAAGACGGAAATTAGCAACAACATCATCCAGGTTGGGAATGACTGCTTTTTGTTTTTCCTCGCCTCCTTTAAGGCATCTAGTCTTTTCATACCTCCTGTTGAGTCGTCAACCTTTTCCAACAAGGGCCTGGAATTTTCTTGAGATAGCTCAGATGACACCCGCTCTGTAATAAGCTGCTCAGAAAGCTGCTGCTGGTTATACTTCTCCACATACTCGGGAAAGATTTTCCGGAATGTTGGACTGTTTCCATAGAAAATTGTTAGACAGTACAATACAGATTCAAACTTGTCACATAGAACACCAGAAACAAGCTCAAAAGTGGAGAACCCACACTAGGGTCGGAACAAGAAGCATGGGACGCTCGACCACAACAATGTATGAACATATTTTACTTTTGGCCTTGTGTGGCTTATATCATCAAAAGATAGGGACTATGAAACAAACTGTAGCAGGTCCAACAGACTTACTTTTTAGAGTTAAACGCAAGAGAAGCCTTTGCCAAACGTTGCTTCTCAGCAGTAGTAGTGTTCACACTGCCGGTAGTGGGACTGTTGTCCATCTGCATTAGAAAAGAGAAATTGAAACATTATAGATGCTTCAAAGATAAGCCAACAAAAGGATGTGAAATTCCCAACCAAAGATAACTATTAAATCTAAATAAGAAAGTATTATCCGTTAAAAAATAAGAACAAGTTACAACAGAAAAAGATTGGCTGAACTACTGAAATATGCAGGAGAAGGGACATTAATCATCAAAGTTTGTTTATATTTAAAAATACAGCTACCTATACTTTGAGTACCATCCAAACAGATTAAACTCTACTAGGATCGCATCAGGAAGTTATCACAATTTTTGCTAAGCAAATGGAACTAAGGCAAAATAAAATTAGCATGCGAAAGAGGCACAATCAACTCACCATAAATGAAAGAAGCCCCGTAAGTATGCTGCATTTGTGAAGAACAGATGTTAGTGGAATTACAACTTACCACAACTATAATATAAACAATAGCAACTCGCTAACAAGAGAAAGCACACAAATATAATTAACATAAAAAATAAATAAAAAGCTCCTTCTAAACCCAGATGTGTCTCTAACCTTGACACAGACCACATTGGATTCCAACTTTCAGGATGGACTGCAAAGAAGCATAGTTAGACATGAAGTTAGTTATTTAAAAACAAAAAAGCACACTCGCACACAAAAAGAAACATTCTATTTCAAAAAGAACTCCATAAAACTTACAATCACTCATAGACAAACAAATTTTCTTCTGAGTCATGAATCTTCCATTGGGAGTGGTCATACTACAGACAGGAAGTAAAGTGTAATTTAGAATCAACAAAGTGAATGTACACATAAAACAATTGCATGCTCAGAAACACAATATTTCTCATAAACATTAAAAAATAAATTTTCTTCATAATTTTGGCATACAAAAAGTACATACCTGATTCCTGGTGGTTTATATGGATATTCTGGAGGAAACTTGATCTTTCCATAGTAAAATCCACCTATAAAGTACCAAAAACAAAAAAGCTAAGCTTTGATATCAAACCAAATGACTAATTTATGTAAAGTACCAAAAATCACACACCAAATACAGAAAAAGGTGGGGTGTAACGTAAGACAAACCTGCAAAAGGTGTTCCTTCACTACCCTCCAACACGTAGTCTGAAGCATGAGATATAAAGAGTAAAGATTAAAATCCCCAAACAAAATGAAATAAATTACAATATGACGTAGATAACTGTACCTACACACTTAGAAATACTATAGAAGGAGGAGTATGAGAAGGATGAATTACACAAAAAACAGATTTATCGTGTGTTTGCTTTAGATTCTGCACTTCCAATGTGACTAGAAGTATGGTGGCACATCACTAAAATCCTTAAATTAACATAAACAAACTCTAGAACTGGCATTTAATATTAGTTAATAGGGAAAATACCAAAAATGCTCAAACCCAGCATAAATTATAAGGAAGTTTGACAAATCCTATTTCCACTGTACTGGACTGAAATTTCAAGAAAGCAGGAGATTGAGGAAATTTCAGTTGCACTTCAAGCGTCATAATATTTAACAAAGCTGGTCAATGCTGTAACAATGCCTTAACTGATTTCGCAAACTGTGATTCTTATGCCACATCTTGCTCAAAGTTTTAGGCACATATGAGCAAATGAAATTCACCTTATTTACTCACTAAATATTGGAACCACAACTCTTCGTCTTGCTGATATAAAGAGAGCCAAAATGTCACTCAAAACTCAAATTTTCATATAGCGTTTTTTAATTGATACAAATTACAAATACACCAAGAAAAATCCTATTTGAATTTAAAGGAAGTCAGTTGCGAATAAACTTACGCCATTCGAGAATATCATTTGGCGAAGGACGGGCCACAATATGAGAAACTGGTTCCTGTACATCGGCATATAGCACTGTTAGCAACATCCAGAAGGATAAAACGTAATAAAGTTACAGGGTAGTCAAAAGGAGACATCAATTCTTAAACTAATGCACATATATCGGCTATAGTTCCAAACCTATGAGAAAAACAATAGCACCCGCACATATATCAGCTATAGTTCCAGACCAATGAGAAAAATAATAGCAATCAACCTGTTCAACAATACAAAAATTACAAAAAACATGGAGAGGAGCCAAACTCCATAACATGATGCGATCAAGAAACTAACCGAAAGAAAACAAAAGGAGAGATTTAACCATCCAATTTATGAATGTAACAAGACCAAAAGATAACACTAAAAGTATATAACAGAACCATATACTGATATCGCAGTAAAACATCAGAATATATACACTGGTCAAGCAAGCAAATTTAATCACAAAGAACATAATTAGGATCTAAATGATATGAACTGATTATAACAGAGATTTGAAAACAAGTTGAGATGAACAAAAGAAGTCATACTTTGCAGAGGGCTCTATATTCCTTCTGGAGGCGCTTGACACATGCTTTCTCCGCCATTTCACAAAAATTGTAGAGAATAATATAATACTGAACTTCTTTGGTTTCAAATGTTATTCCCAGTTCTCTGATAAACATAGAAGAAAATAACGCACAAAGTTAGATTCTTATGAAGCAATCAACTTTACAGATCAAAGTGAGAATGTATTAAATTAAACCATTTACTGGACAAAAATACATGTAAATTTAGTATAATCAAGCGTTCAATTAGAATTTAGGGTTTTAGCATAGAAAATCCCAAAATAAAAAATTGCCAACTCCAATTGCAATCTCTACATTTCACCCTCTTCATTTATCTGCTTGATTAAACTATATTAACAACAAACCCAATCATAAATTCCTAATGTCAAGCACCAAACTTTAAGCCTTACGAATTCAACCAAGCAATAAAACTCAAGATTTAAAAACTAAAAATTCACAAAAAATACATATAGAACGTTTATGCAGGAACGTAGATCCGAAACGAGAAAAAATTGAATTTGGAGCAAAACCTGATGAGATCGGCGTTTGGGAGATAAGCAAGAGACCTCGATCGCACATGTATGCGTTTACGAAGACAAATGCAGCTAAAAGCAGAAGGACGACGTCGTATTCAGCGATTTCCAATTTAACAATGTTTTCAAAGGCGTTATTTGTGAAGTCAGTGCCCCTCGGCAGTCTCAGCTCCTACCCATCTTTCGTAGGACCACAACTGGTCCGGTCAACTTTAAATGACCGTTATACCCCTGATTCTCCCCTCTGCGAATGAGGTCGGCGGCTTTTTAAGGGTAGTTTAGTCAACCTAGATGAGATGCGCTCCCTTTTTTTTTTTTTTTTTTTTTTTTGGGGCTCTTCTGAAAAAATAGAATTCCTATATATTCAGGAAATAAAATTCCAAGAGAAAAAAGGCAGTAATACATAAATGATAAATCAAGTACAATCATATAATGGGATTTACACATGTGTTCAATACACACACCACAAAAACATTATATCCAATTTTCACTCAATATATCTCAAATTTTCAAATTTATGTTTTATTGGAAAATCTTTCGCGCTACAATAACAGTTGCTAGTCATAATCTAACATGTCGGCAGATTTATATTTTTAATATGACCGGAAGAGATAAAGTAAGGTGAGAATTAGCTTGAATGGAGTAAAACTTCCATGAAACATATTTTTCACTCATTTCTATCTCCCTCCCACATCAAATGATCATGTGGGCTAAAGTTTTATATAAAAAGTAAAAAGAATTAGGGTGAGATACAGCCCGCCCAATTCTCGATTTGCCATGACGTACATTACGACCACTTTGAGCTTTCTTTCCGGAAGTGGAAGACTTCCTTCTGTTCCTCTCCATCAGGAAATCTCTATCTTCAGTTCTTTTAATCATTGGTAAATGGAAACAATCTCTCTGTTGATCCTTATTATTACTTACTGATCAAGAAAATTATGGAGAAAAAGAAAAGGACAGCACAAACATAAAAATAAAAAGGCAATACCACAAGATCCAAGAGCTTCCTCAAAAGAGTACAAAAAAAGTGCCAAGCCAACTAGTTTCAGTCATCAGCAGCTGTTATCATATTTCTAGATCCAACACTGTCCCAGTAAACAAGTACCACTGCCTAATCACTAATAACATTATAATAAACAGCCTTTTAGCTTCCCAAAAACAACATTACTACTATTAATATTAAAATCATGTGCCTCATCACATGACCCCAATTGCAGAAAATTGCAAATTAAAAAATAAAAATATAAGGTGGATACATCATAAACCATCATTTTCTTCTCCAAAATCTGCAGGTCAGAGTTGCAGCATGTAACAGTCAAAGTTGAGCACATGATCCCACTGATATCAGATCCCAATTGGGATTTTTCCTTCTTCTTTTTTTTTGGAACATAAATTTTGGTATATAAATCAGAGACTAGACCATCATTTCATTTCATATCTAATCATAGGCTTCAAGTTTATCTATCTTCTTCACACTCACTGAGCAGATGAATATGAAGACTTGGTCTAGAGTTCTAGCTGCTCTGGCTCTTGCTCTTTCCATGGTGCTCTCAACATGGCCTGATATTGCAACAGCACAAGCTCGTCCATTAACTTCTGCTTCTGCATCGAAAAAAGCAGCTTCTGCATCTTCATCACAAGGTCTTGAAGATTTGGAGGCAAAGAAGAAGAACCCGTATAAGCAAGTTGGCTCAAGCTTTAGAAGAATACCACCAAGCACTTCAAATCCCACACAGAACAAGTAAAGTATACTTGCAAGCTCTTTCATGCCTCTCCATCTCCACCACTTGAAGATTTCCCATAATTGACCTCAGTTGCCTTGCTATATTTTTCCAGGTCCAATCCTCCATAAGGTGGCTGAAAGTGGAAGTACAGAACAATAAGGGTATCTAGCTAGCTAGCTTTCTCTCTCATTCATTTTTAGACCACTTGTAATGCAACTGCAGTTTTGCTACCTAGCTAAGGTTTTGTTAGCTCTGATTTTGAGTGTAAATTTGTAGTCTTTTTGTGATGTATATAGAAGAATAACATGTTTCTGTTACAAATACAAAAGGATTGAGAAACAAGAACAAGATCAAATGTTTTCTCCTCGATTTTGGTTTGAAACCACTGCCTAGTCACTGATACGCAAGAATAATATCATACTATTAACATTGTTATCACGTGCCTGATCACGTGATCCTTGATTGAAATATATATCTCACCGTTTCGGCCAAAGCATACAGCTCAGAGTTGCATTATGTAACTGAGAGTTTAGCACATGATTCCGCTGATATCAGATCCAAATTTGGTTTATTTTTTCATCTATTTTCGCACCAGCAATTTAGGTAGAAATCAACAACTAACACATCTATGATAATTACACAATGGTTTTTACATCATAAACACCTATTTTTTCACCTATTTTTGCACCATTTGTGTAATCACATCATAAACACCACGGCAAGGAAGAACCCTTATAAAAGCAGGTTGGCTCATCCTTCTAAGGACGCCGCCAAATCCAATTCCTCCTTCATAGATGTCTGAAAGAAAGGAAGTACAAAACCAAACATGGAGAAACTAGACAGCGTTAGTTTTCATTCATTCAAGGCTTTTGAAGGTAAATTTATCTATAATTTTCTTGGTACATACAGAACAGTATCATTCCGTTACAGAAGGCTATACCTTAAAAACCTCAACTTGAAAGACAGGAACAAGAACAAAACAGAACTAAGAACTTGGCTCTCACACATGAAATTCTCCAATTCAGTTAGCCTATGCTACCAATTCAAACATCTAAAGACTAAGAGCAATTAAATAGTTATATCCAACCAGCATTTTTTTTCTTCTTTTTGGGAGCTTCATCCAGGCTGGTATTTCTCTCCCTCTCCAACTGGGTTTATATCCTCTGTGGCGCTGGAGAAGGTTACAAAACATGAGATTGAAGCAGATGATCCACATCCTCATGTATCAGTGACTATATTCTTCGACTTATTCTTCACTTTAGGAACATCATCATCTGCCGAATTTCTTGCAAACTTCTTGCTGCTGTTTTCTGGTTTATTTGGTTTGCGTTTGAAGCCTGTTGTACTCAAAAATGGTGCAGGAGATGTCTGGAGATGTGCGATTTCTTCCCTCATTTGTTTTATTTTATTCGGTTGTGAGGTCTTCTTAGAATCATCAGAAAGAAAGCTGCTGTTCTTTGACGGCTTGGTCTCACTAGAGCCAAATGTAGAATAGAATTCATTGAAAGTTGATTGTTTTGATTCTTGCCTGGACCTCCATTGATCAGGTCTAGCAGCAAACCTGTCATTTACCCAAGGTTAAGTACATAAACTGCAAAGATTCAACTCCTAACAAATAATGCTAAAACAATGTATCCAAAATGATAATTTTATGGTTTCTTCAAAGATGTTTGTGCACAAATGAGCGACAGAAGATAGCCAGCTATGTGCTAATTACTTCGGTGAATTATTTAAGATACAAGAGCAAGCTTTCCTTAACAAAGAAAAAGGATTGACACAGATCCTGACTAACAATGAAGCACATAAAAATCTTGATATTCTGAAATAGAACATGGCCAACAGCTTACCCATCAACATCTAATTTCCTCATGAGATGAGGACCTTGCTTCGTATTCCAAAGCTCACTTTGCACAGTTAACAACTCAGATACTATGGCCTCTCTCAGTGAGATGTTACCCACAGTAAAACACTTTTCAACAGTAAAGGAACCTGATGATTGCAATGAAAGCTCTCCAAAATGTCCACGAAGCCTTCAAAGTAAGCAACAGAAGATCCAATTAAAAAATGTTTTAATTGCCTAGAACCATAAGACAAATATATGGGCATCCTGATAGATACACAGGCTATGTAAGCATACAATCTACCAATTAAGTTACACAGCATACTTCATGATTATTCGGCGCTTCAGTTTTGCAGAAGCATCTGAACTTAGAAAAGCTTCAATAACACGAGCACCACCAGAATCTTTAGCAGCTTCAAGGATATTATCAGCATTGAGGGATGTAATACTTGTAATAAAAGGCTGTATAAATTCCTGTGAAGTGAAACAGTAAATCAGTATAAACAAATACAAGATTGCAATGCAAGAACCAATTAAGCGAACGAGCTTCAATCCTAATTGCATCATTTTATTTCCTGAATGTCCTAACAAGAATATATGAATTTATAATTGCAGCGACCAAAATCAATAGATTTTCTCTAGAAAGGCAAAACTGAAATTAGATATTCCATCAATGGAAACGGAATATTACATAGAGAGAAAAGATGGCATACAATGGGGGTGGGGGTGGGGGGTGATTTTCTTTTAAATGGAAATGGAGAGAGTGCAACAGTGGAAAAGCTACAAGTCTTTATATGAATATTTTAAGAGGCATCACAATATGATAAAACTATATAACTATATACAGAAACACCTAATATGATAGTTGGGGGCTCTGATTTGAGTACAACTACGAGAAAGGTTCCATACATTTTGAAATCGAAAAACTCCTTGCAGAATCAAAGAACCCATGACGTGCATTTTAGCACCACTTGGCCAATTCCAATTAGACTTATCTTCACAGTAGAAATAGCTGTCAAGAAACAGTATCCGAGGAACAATGCATGTTGAAGACTCATTGCTTGAATGTACAGCCATAGCAAGGGCCTCACAACACTGTCAAACAAGTAATGGAAACATAACTACGATCAGAATCAGTATCTGGACTCACAACCAGAACAAAGTCTTGTTAACAAGTAAATATCCATGATCCATCTAATTTATTCATCAGTAAAACTGTAATCGAACTGTTTTTTTTTTTGGGGGGGGGGGGGGGGGGGCGCGTCAGAGAGTAACTCAAGTTTTTGCAATGCTTAGGCGCCAAAACTTTGAGAGTTGATATAAAAATGAGAAGTGCTCACGCACCAGGTGTATTATGAACAATAACACAAATTCATTTCTGACCTTATGTTCATAAATATGAAGCCTTTGACTTGCAGCAATCAGCGAAGCAATAACTCCTGATTTTCCCATTTTAAGCAGATCCTTAAATTTCGAACCAAGCTCCTCCCAGATCACCTCCATCTAATGGACAAATTGGCAAAAAGGTGTTATGACAGATTGAGGACCACCTTTTGCAAGGAGATATGCCAAAGTAGCTAAAATAGGAGAGCAGTACAGAAAAGTAAATGGAAGAAGCTAATTTGAAGTTAACACTTATATTAACTCTGAATAATGGAAATGCTAATCGAAAAGAATTACAGGGGTGCGGTGGAGCATGATGAGGGGTATAAAGTGTCAAAAAGCAGCATTGTCACAAAACATACCTGATCTAGACTCCCTGCATGAGAAATTAGTGCTTGAATGACAAAGTTCCCACAATGATGAGATGAAAGCTCAAATAATGAGTTTCTAAAAACTTTTGTAAACATTTCATTGTACAAGACTTCAGGAGCCACTTCCAAAGCAACCTGCAATGTTCAGAACATATAATTAAAATGAAAATAAACCAAGCTACATTCAAGGAGAAAGGGATAGCAGAAGATAAATAGATGTCTTGTCATCAGTCCTTCACATTCTACACATTTGGCCAGCTATATCTTGTTTTTTGTTTTATTTTTAATTTTGGGGGAGGCAGAAGCTGTGTTACCCATTAGAACTGCATAGTTACAGCTGTAGGTACGAAAAGATTATTTTGATCCCACAATTGACTAAAGGAAGTTTAATTGTTAATGTACCATAACCATCTCACTAACATATAAGCTCAAACAAGTTATGATTGTAGCAAAGGCTATATAAAACTATACAAATTTTGTCATATCGGAATATTGGAATGAAATCAGTTAGTAGTTTTCAGAAAATGATTATTAAGATTGATTTCCGTCATGCCATTTATGACACCAATTTGATATCAAATTGACAATTTATAAAGGCATGCCTGGATTAAGTACACAATTAATAGAAGAACATGGCAACTTGTCCTCTTGTAAAATTTCACGCAGGAATAAGCATTGTTCATGCAAACCTTACGAAGAAAGTGTTTACCTCCATTAAATGGCTAAATGCTGTTTCTTTCATAAGATATAAAATATTTCTCGCTTTAGTCGTTTTAATGGAATCTCCTTCTAAAATTTCTTCCCTGGTACATCCAATAAGAATGGGAATTATTTGCAACAGCTTTTCTTCATCTCCTGCTAACAATTTCAAAGCACTCTGCCAGGCAAAATAAAAATGTTATAACACAAATCAAAATGGACCCAGACCATGCCCGTATACTGCAAATGAAAAAGAAACACAAAAAATAAGACTATGAAAAGAACTTGATTCTGTAGAAATCCTAGGCATCCAAAAGATCAAAATTTAGATGATCAAATTATTATACATCACCAATTTCATCCACTAATGCTTAAATGAAAAGAAAATTTGCTCCCTCCCCTTTTCATAGATGAACAAAGGAAGGGTAAATAACCCACCGACCACAAAACAGACTTCCACACTTAGAATTGGGTATATTAAATTTGTCACAAATTTTGAGAAGTATGCTCTGGTGGATTGTCTTAAGACTCATCAGATGCTATCACAAATGGAGATCTGGACCATATATGAAAACTGAATTATGGAGTTGTTAACACTATATTACGAATTAAGATGCTATTAATACCATGTTGTCAACACTATATTAACTTTATTTTTATATATTTGGTAATGAATAACTTCTCAGTTCTCAATTGACATTCAAAAAGAAAAGCAACTCCTAGGAGTAGGAAAAAATAGTATGATAGTATATTAGAACTTGCCTGCAGAACCAAACTGCTGTACTGATCAACTTGCATGGTCTTAATGTTGTTCTGGATACACTTTGACATCCCTGAAACAAGAAAGTCAAGTAAACCTGGGAATCCCTGTACGGCCTGTGGTGAAATATCTGTGTCTGCTCGAAATGCCTTGAAATTCAACCGCTCTGCAAGGACTGAAGAAGACTTTCTCCGGTT